CAGAGACTGGCCTGAGGAACAAAGATCAAAGCATTCCAGAATGCAGAGGAGCTCCCCCCAGGCCAGCCACCCCTACCCTGTTATCTGTTAGTTCCCTCCCAGGTCCAGGATCTGGGGATCAGGTTGGGCAGACAATGGAGAGGGAGCACTTACTCCAGAGGATGCAGCCCAGAAAGGGGAAGTGAAGTCTGAGGCCAAGCACTAACAGGCTCCGTCCCTCTTAGTCTGTGGGGTCACTGACATCAGTCCACCTTCAGCCCAAAGACTAGTTCAGAAGAGCTACGGTTCTGTGAAGGAGGAAGTCTCCAGTCTCTCACCTGGAGTCCTGCAGGGTCTCACCAGGAAAGGGAGGATGAGAGGACCCTCTACAGGGGCAGAGGTCAGCCTTGGCCAGATTCCAGCTGCAAAAGACGGACCCTGTGTTCCAGTGTGTCATCAAGACTTCTGACCTGTATGGTTGGTGCACACCTGTAATCCCAGCGACTCGGGAGGCTGAGGCAGGAGGACTGCTGAATTAGCAATTTAGCGAGAACTTGTCTTGGGGGTGTAGCTCAGTGGTACAGTCCTCGTTGGTTTGATCCCTGGTACCCCCACCTGCAAAGGAAAGACCATCTTCTGTTTTTTGCCTGGATTCCTCAAGTTCTAGAAGCATAAACAGGTGAGGGGATAGGAGGCGCAGTCACAATCCCCAGAGGGTCTTGAGATTTAAGTGTCTTCTTTGTATTACTTTTGCCTCCTCAGTAACCAACATGGCAGGGAAGGGGCGGAGAAAGAGGCTCGGGGTAGTCCATCTATTTCCAGAACATCACAGATGGAGGAAACTTGTTCTCGCACTGGTGCCCCAGCTGGAGGAAATCTTCACCTGCCCCATGGGGGCCAGACCTCCTACTCCCTGCTATAAAGAAAAATGAACATTTCTAGCTTCTTCTCACATAAATTGCATTAACTTCCTCCATTCACAAAATTATCTTCTACGGAAGATGCCGTTACTACCTCCATTTTGCAGATGAAGGAAACAGAGGTCAAGGAAGTTAAGTGAACTGCCCAAGGTCAACACAGTGAGTAACCCAGACAGGACTCACCCTGAGCTTCTGGTTCCAAAGTCCATGTTTTTCTTCAAACACCTCCTGGCCTCTCTGGTGACACACGTGGCCTGGAAAGGGAGGGTAGGGATTGACTTGCTTTTAAAGAGACCCCAGATTTCTCTAAGGGAACCTTGTGGGTTTGTCGCCAGTTGGAGCTCCTCTAGAACAACCTCAGGGCCAGAGAAGAACAGTCACCCATCCATCGAGTCAGCCGGTCATGAAACAGCCATCGGCTGACGTTGGCCATGTGCTGAGAGACATGGGAGTCCCTGTCCTTCAAGGGCTCACAGTGTGTTTGGTGGGGAACAAACCGACATAATGAACTGAAATACAAGGTGACAACAGTCACGCATTTATTCAGCCAGGCCCTGCCCTGTCATTACGAAGTCAGATGAGCAGTCTTGACTAGTCATGCGCTTCCAGTCCAGCAGACAGGGCAAATCAGGAGGCTCTGCCTCCCACTCAGCCCAGTGCTTTTTTTGGGAATGGGACGGGGCACTTAACCATGGAGCCACACCCCCAGCCCTTTTTTATACTGTATTTAGAGACAGGATCCCACTGCGTTGCTTAGGTCCCTGCTAAATTGCTGAGGCTGGCTTTGAACTCGTGATCCTCCTGCCTCAGCCTCCCAGTCACTGGGATTATGGGTGTGCACCACCACACTCGGCCCAGTACTCTTTCCACAGTGCCATTCCTTCTCTCTATCCTCAGGGAGGCTGTAACTTTTCAGGTTGCCACAGAATTCTCAGTGTTACCCAGGTGGTAGCACACATCTGTAATCCCAGTGACTAGGGAGGCTGAGGCGAGAAGATGGCAAGTTTAAGGCCAGCGTGGGTAATTAGCAAGTTCCATCCCAAAATAAAAACAGGGCTGAGGGTGTAGCTGAGTGGGAGAGAGCCCTTGGGCTCCATCCCCAGTACAGACAAGAATTGTCAAGGCTGACCTGGGCCTGGGGCCTGCAGGAACTCAAGTTTCCCACACTCCTGGGGAAATTCTCCTAAAAATACAACCCTCAGGTCATCTCCAACATGCACGCAGTCCCCAGATGGACTAGTGCCCTTCACCCTTGGCACCAGCACCTCGTGGCCTCCTCCCCATCCTCAGACCCCAGGTTAGCCAGGGCTTGCGGATAACCAGTGCCCCAGAAGTAGAATAACTCGTCTTGCCAATTAGACAGTGAAATGCCGCTGGTAGGGGAGGACTAGATCCCTGCAAACCTAGTTCCTGTCACCCAGCTGGGTTGAGCTGTCCCTCCAGTATGACAGGCAAGAGGAACACGGGGAGGGGGAGGCATCGGCCCATAAGGGCAGCCGAGAGTGGGATCAGTTTGTGAAGGAAGGAGGGAGTGAGTGGGGGAGCGGAGGTGGCAAAGAAGCCTGGGGGAGGGGCACCTAAGCACAGGTTGGGGCTATCGGGGCAGCGGTGAGACTTTTGGGGGCCAGAGTGCAAGGCTGGGAGGCAGAGTCGGAGATAAATCCCCAAGGGAGGGGGTGAGCAGCGGAGGGGGGAGCCCCGTGAGCAGGGGAGCAGGCTGAGCAGGGCGCACCCCCAGCCTCCTGCCCATGGTATTGATCCGCTAGATTACTCAATTTCACCCGTATTGATCAGGTAATTGCTTTATCTCGGTTCTCATTTGAGCTCTGCATTCTCCTGGCTCCCCTTCTCTCTCTCTCTTGTTTTTTCCTATCAACCTGACACAGGGCTCCTTAACACAGCATCTATATATAAAGTTTGGTTAGGCTGCCTGGGTGTTTGGGGCTGAGGAAGGGGCGGAATGGAGGCAGAGGGACTCTAGCCTTAACTTGGAGCCTCTGAATTCTCCTTTTCCGAGAAATCCTTCCTGGATCCAGGTGGTGGAAATACGCACCCATCCCAGATCAAAAAAATAAATAAATAAATGAAAGGAGGGGAACTAGAGCCCCTGGGTGACCCCAAACTTCAGAAAACTAGAGCCTCAGCCTCCGGCTGCCTCTGCCGACCGCCTCACCCATCCTGCTTCCTGAACTGCAAGCCTTGAGCCCCCAATTACTACACCAGGCTCTGGGTGTACCTCTTTTTTTGTATCCCCGCCCCTTTCTTTTTTGGTACCAGGGATTGAATCCAGGAATGCTTAACCACTGAGCCGCATCCCTAGCCCTTTTTTTTTTTTGGTACATATTTTTTTTTTTAAGAGAGAGTGAGAGAGAGGGGGACAGAGAGAGAAAGAATTTTAACATTTATTAATTTTTTCTTAGTTCTCGGCGGACACAACATCTTCGTTTGTATGTGGTGCTGAGGATCGAACCCGGGCCGCACGCATGCTAGGCAAGCGCGCTACCGCTTGAGCCACATCCCTAGCCCCTTTTGGTACATATTTTATTTTGAGACTGAGTTGCTCAGGGCCTCACTAAGTTACTGAGGCTGGCTTTGAACTTGTGAACCTCTTGCCTCAGCTTCCCGAGTGGCTGGGATACAGGCGTGAGCCACCATGCCTGGCCTGGGCGTCCCTCCTGTAGGCCTTCAGAGCCTTGCGATTGTCCCTCTTACTGCTCTTCCAGTGCCTTTTAAACGGTGAAGGCAGCTGGCCCCCTCTAGCCCATGTGTCCTTCCTGCCCACTCTCCTCCCATTCCCCCTTCCCTGTCACTCCCCACAAGTCCTAGTGGCCTAACCCCCACCCTCTAGTGCTGGGGCAGCACACCTGGGCTCCAGGTAGAGAAATGGGAATTAGGGAAGGACACTCAGCCCCTCCCCACAGAGCCCCCAGGTCAAAGGAACCCCCAATCTGGCTCCTGGCTCCCCAAAGCCCCCAGTGTGAGGGAAAAGACCCGCCTAAGATCAGGCAAGAACCCACACAAAAGATAGAAAAAGATGCAGTCACAGTGGCACGTGCCCTAGTCCCAGTGACTTGGGGGGTTGAGGCAGGAAGATGGCAAATTTGAGGCGAGCCTCAGCAAATTAGTGAGACCGTGTCTAAAAATATTTTCTTTAAAGAAAGAGTGAGAGTGAGAGAGAGAGACAGAGAGAATTTTTTTTAATATTTATTTTTTAGTTCTCGGCGGACACAACATCTTTGTTTGTATGTGGTGCTGAGGGTCGAACCCGGGCCGCACGCATGCCAGGCGAGCGCGCT